AAATATAGGGTCTTCCGGTAGGTTCTCACCCGTACGTAAACAAGGCATATGACGTGATATTTTATTAGCACAGCTTACCTGTAACACTTACCTGTAAATTATATGTACGTAACTCTTTGAAAATATTTAGTTGAAGCCAAACATCGATGTCTTAACTGGCAATAACGGTATCGTCGAAGGAACCAAAACAAATCGATACATCAAAGTGCCCCAACGCCTCGTACACCCATGTTAAACTTTTGATAACATTTACAAATAGTTTCCCTAATTGAAAAGTAGAAACAGCGATTAGAATTGAAAGAAGACTAATTACTTTTCAATTTGATTGATAACTGGTCGGTGTGACGTCACACAGGTAAGTAATTTTTACCAGTACCTAGTACGTACATTGAATGACATTTCCGGAATTTTACGATAAACAGAACATAAAAGAGAGTGTTTGTCGAGACATGTTTACAATTTGGCACGAATTTTAAATCTTACTTATCAGCAATTCAGCATTGCAATTAATATTAATTCATTAATCCAGAGAAGAAAAAGATCGATATTAAAAGTAAGCATGTGTTTAGTAACTGAGTTTGTTCGTTGTAGGTTTAATCCGTTAAACTTGCTATATCTGCTTATCGAACACGACCTCACATTCTTGTATTGTTGTGTTACAAATATTGTTCAATGATTAAGTGACCCTTGTAATTCATTGTGAATAAAAGGGTTTACAAATATATACATAGTTGATTACATCAAATATGTAAACAGCTAGACTGAAAATACCGCCCTTTGAAAAATGTGTCCGGTACATGTACACACATACAGTCGACCGAAAATTAACACCTAAGTCTCTAGAAACGGGTTAATAAGATGACATTTTGCACTTAATTCATTATTTTTGTGTATTTAGAGTTATCCATTTCCCTGCGTAAGTAGACATTTTCTGTTACCATAACTAGGTTTTTAGTTGCTGTATCGAAATATTTTAAAATAATCGGGAATATTTACCATAAAATTACCATTTCTAATGATTGTTCGCTCTGGTATATAATATTTACCCCCAGAAATACCCGCCAAAATAACACACGTATAAAGTATTATAAACAAATATCTACTGTACAGTAGCTCCGATTGAAGAAATGCTCACAGATAGCCTCATTTCAGCAACACGGTCATTAGGGCGCTACAGACAGTACGAACCCTTCTAAATATTAACTCTCATATACCGGTCGTACCGAACTGACACACATAAAATGTACTTTGAAGTACTCACTTATCAACTTGCATTAAATAAAATTCTCAAGTCTTGGTCACTGGTGCTGAACACGCTGATATGGTGTGTATATACTATATAATACTCTTATATATAGTATATACACATCCTATAAGTGTGTCCAGCACCTGTGGTCAGGGTGCACGTGAGAGCAGGGGGTCCTGAACCCCCCTGAAATCCCTCCAGACCCGCCACCGATATAGCCCTGCGCTACTTAATTGTCCTGTGGTGTATATGTATTTATATATTTATATGTACGTTTCTGTTGCGGTTTCAGACCGCCATGATGTTTATTAAGCGACATGTCATCACCTATCATATCGACATCTACTGCTGTACGCCACTCATAATAAACGATCATTTATTTATTTACAAATCTCCGACAGCGCTGACACCTCTGTATTCATATACAAATTCTGACAGAATGTTTACATCGAGAGCTCAGTCAGTAAGGTTCTTGGTCTACAGGTGGCAGGTGGTCGGTTCGATACCTTGTTTTAAACAAAACTATGCAAACGGGACGCTACATGGAATAGGAACAGAGTAGACGGGGACGTAAAATGGCGGCCCAGGCTAAATCCATTTCCTGAAGTGACATTGATGTTTCTTTGCCGACCACTTAGACAACATTTTTGTCTCTGAAAACGGTCATTTCATTTCATTGTTTGGTTTTATAAGCCGACATTATTTTTCATAAAAAAATATATTTAAAAAACAATTTAATCGAGGAAAATGTGTGGATTCATAAATGACTGAATATTCCGGTTTAACAGTTGAGATTCTTCGATGTGGATATCATTATTAATTAAAACGAATTTATTCAAATCTTGAACTGTTTACACGTACATGTATACAAGTCTATATATGTAGGTCAGAGTTGTTAAGCGACCTTTTCCGTGTCCACGGTGAGAATATCCTCGACCATTACAATTAATCACGCGGCCAACCATTCAATTAAACGTGGTTAATCTCTAACTGTAGGCTCCATTAATGAGTGCGGGCTCATATTTCATTCGCTGACATTTCTAAACTTGCCTTATACACATCATATAAAGAGTATATCTATATGGGTCAAAGAAGTAATATAGACGGTAAAATCCCATATAACACTGGATCGTAATGGAGGTATACATATATGTACTGAATGGTGAATAACTTCTGTCGCTCTGTATATAGTGTGTAGGTATGTGACACTACACCTATTGGTAGATATCTTAACTAATTTTACAAGTATGACATCACCCACTTACAATTAAAACTGTCCCGATTTTTATTTGTATTTGAACGGATATTCTCACAGACAGAATATTGCACAATTGTAAATGTTAAATATGTACGCATGCATTTTGCCGATCCGAAGCGACTTTGAAAATATTTACATATGAATTAACAGGCTGCGTGCATTTTCATATTTGTTCGACGCTAGCAAACATTTAACACTTACTACCTCGATATGTATTTGACGTCATCGGATAGGAAGTCGAAATCCCACCCGTTCAATGTGGTACATAGAAGGCCAGATCAGTGTAAATATAGACAGGTGATCAATACTACAGTAAAGAGTTTATAGACGGGTGACTTTAATAGTTCACACAGTAATAAACGGCGAGACTTAATTAGTCAGAGTAAAGCTGTTTTACTTCGTGATTGGAGACAGAAGCTTTTTTTCTTTATAATATTACTTTCTATTTATTCTATCATTTCATTGATCACGTTTGCTAAATCTATAAAATACAATGTAGATAATATTGATCTAGATGAGTATTTGGCGAGGAGTCGGACTGTCATTGAGCCGGATAGCTCTGTTTACAAACTTGCGTTGTCCCCGCTCCTGTACTGTGATAGTTGTAACACGCACATTCTCGTGCATGTATATTGTTCAGTGTGCATCTTTGCTGCAGTCAGGTTTATGGTCTCCCTATCGACCGACCAGACGAGTTCGCCTGATTCTGATCCCAAGCCCCTCCCCCCCCCCCTTTCCCATACCCCTCCCTACGGCTCGTACATGTAATAAAATTGTGCACTTTACGGCAAACTGTACTTAGGCTTGTTTTACGAGGAGAAATAAAAAGCGGGTACAATATAGATTTTGGAACACAACTCCTTCACCAAACAACAGCCCCAAGTTTGATCATTTCACCCTCATTATAACTCTAACCTGAAAATTGTCACATGATAACATCACGATAAAAATGTGCCCCTCTCCTACCCCCACCCTTACCCCTGATCCATAACCCCCAAAACACAGGCTATCCTTTAACCCTTATATCCGACCTCGAACTGGTTCTCTCCCCCAGCTGTTACAGTCCCGGTCTGATAGTACCGTTTTGTGATACTCAAGAGTAGCACTAGATCCCAGATTACTCTACTTTCGTATTACGTATGTATTGTACTGTAGTACTAGAAAACAGCGTGGGAGATACACTATTAATGAAATTCCACATCAGATCGCCGCGGGATGATAATTGGGGTGATAATTACAACACATAACACACACATGAATTGTACATATCCTAGCTATAGGCCCACACTGTGTATATAATTGATCTGTATACATATAGACAAGTCGGAACATCAACACTACAGCAGGTGGATGGGCCAGCTGGGGAGGAGCAACTGTTCTGAACCAAGACAGTCACGTCTGTAGGGATCAAGGACAGGCATTAGACTTAACGATGCTCATACAACACCTTCTGTATTCTACATTCTGACTTAGTCTGGCGGATTTGCCGTTAGCCAATGATCCTATCACCAATCGAAGTTCGAGTACAAGGTTTTTTTAATTACTTTGAGCTTTACCGCTCATCAGATACTGACACATACCTGTCAAATGATATCTGGTATGTTATTTGGTAATGGGGTCAGAAAATACTGGGATACCCTACCTGTCATCACCTCTCTGGTCTATCATAGTAAATATTTCCCTACATCATTCATTTTAACGGCGTTCGGTGTTTTACATGCCAGAATTATATATTTAAGACATTAAATATATATTTTGTGTATAAACCTGGTATGCACAGCGTGTTAACAGCTGACAATTATCCATACATGTACATACCTGGTGGACAATGCCCTATAACAATAGCCGTACCCCCAACGGCGTTCTGTGAAGAGGTCATTAATGTGTCGGCATTATATTATTGGGTAATCGGTATATGTATCCACCTCCGTTGAGGTAAACACTAAAATCAACAGTCACAGTGTGTAACATTTTCATTTTATACAGTAATCATAAACTGTCCGTAACTTCAAGATATGCTGACCTTATTTCGATTGGGTCACCGACATTCGTTCTAATGATATTCAGACTGAATTTAACCGCTTTTGACACTACATGTAAGGAACTGACGGTACATTTACGCAGCATCTCGCGGAGAAGCTGGTAAATCCTACATTTACTTCCCATGTATGCTATTAACCATTTGTCCAGCTATGCCGACTGGTATACAACTATTGCAGGATGAATCGATTTATTCAAGGACATTGTGAACACGATACTCTGATATATATGTGATCTGACTCTGTTCCTGTATCACACACAGGTGTCAGTAGAACAGGTACTTCCTCATATTGTAATCTGATATTGTTTACAATTGCGTATTTTCAAATCGGTGGCCTGTTTTGTCACATGTCTGTTTGGTGTTTGCATTTTTTATAAAAACGTGTAACATATTTGATAAAAAAACACACTTTTTTGAGAAATTTCTCAGAGGACTAAATATAACAAAGTACTTACCATTTCGTGGAGGGATTTGATATCACAGGTTTTGATTTGTTTTGGGGGTTCCCCCGTGGCCAGTTCCTCGTCGATCTCCTCCTCCATCTGCACAAGGGTAGGGGCTAACATCCCTAACTTTGCCCCCACTCGTGCGATTTCCAAGAGACACAACACAACACTTTTCTCATTTTTCCTCAGCACCAAATCATCGGTTTCAAAACACAATACATCCGGAATTCCTAACTTCTTGGTCCATGTAATAAACTGTGATATGTTATCCCTAGCCTGGAAGGTTTGGGGTCGAACATCGACGCGGTATTGTACCTCGTATTGGGGCACTTTGAGATCACGAATAAAATTAGAATGCATTTCCGTTTGGATTCCTTTCTGAGTGCGTTCTATGGCGTACTTTCGTACCTTGTTAGCATGCTCGCACAGCATCACGCCCGTCTCCAACACCTCAAAGAAGTTGTCCACCGTGATGGTCAGTTTGTACAGACAGGTAAACCAATCAGCCAGGTCCTCTTTCATCGCGTACAGGTATTCATCATTGGACTTGAAGGTAGCGATCGGCTTCAGCTGCAGGACCAGGAGGGTACTCGTCCCCCCATTTGTCCCGTTAGGGTCAGCATTCCCATGGGACGGCTCTGAAGTTGTCGAAACAGACATCTTGGAGGAGTTATATACTTTTAATCCAACGAAAACACCTTTAAACAAGTATTAAATAATTTCACAACAAATCGAGATTTCAGGATTTTAAAATTTAAAATCCAACACACACTTTAAAAATTATTTATCACAGATCACGAGAGTAAAAACACTCCATGTGTTTTACATTCCAGCTATAGAGCCCCACGACCCACGGGAACTCGGGGGTGGGGCGATCACCTAGACGAGGTTAGTTACATACTGGCAGTGTGACGTACATATCCTTTGGGTTTTTTCCTCACTGAGGCAGCATGCTATCTTCTCCTCTTAAATAAGAATCGTTGATTTTTCCTGTCATTTTCACCTCGACAGTTCCCTACGACAGGACACCGATGTATACGGTGTAGTACGTACACTCGAGTGAGCACCTAGACTCCTACTGGCATTCTCACCTGACATACCGGCTTATAACACAGGATACGAAAACTGTATACCTGTAAATGTGTACCTGTGAAATGTACAGCGCTCCATGAGAGGATTATTATCCCGTTACAGGTAAAAGTCCGAAAGCACCCGACCATTCCATACTAAGTAGCACATGTATATTGTAATACGTACGTATACAGACATATATATATTTACCTACTACCGGACGTTCTGTCGTTAGTCCGCCACGTGACAACTTGTAGATATATCATTTAAATGACAGATAGGCTATATCCAGTATGTATTTTTTCAAAACACCGGTTTTAGATCTCACGGCTGCCAGAATCCTCCTATACGTATATTACAGCGCAATGTATTGAGTGTATCGCCGTTTTGTAGGGACGAGGGAGACACACCAATACAGATATACATCTGGCCGGCTGTGATATCGTTCCCAACTCGACTGCCTTCCCATGCTCACAGCCAACAGGAGTTCTATCCTGAATCTAGATAGGATAACGAATACTCACATCCTCTCGCACGCGTACACACTCTGGTGCCACCATTTACACAAAACCGACTACGTATTACGCAGAAAACACGTGTGTGGGTGTGCTTCAAGTATGTGTTTCTGTCGTAATAACGACTACAGATCGATATATATTCTGCTACTACTACGCCAGCGCCATGTAACCCAAGTTTTGTATTTTTAGCTTAGTCAGCCTCAAAGCTGCAGTGCCAGCTACCGGCTTGGTTAGTTTACAACAAAAATGTCAAAATGAGTTTCTTTCAGCAACCGTGCAAAATTTCTCAATTTTCTTTGAATCGTTTTGTCATGACTTAAACTATACCCACGTGCAATTTTAATTAATTAAAATAATGTTGATGTGTATTGCGTATTACGTGGTAAACGTGAGATTTTTCTTTCTAAAAGCTAACTATACTTCACGAGTTAAGATGCAGCAGCAACCAGAAACACGCGACTCAATTTTCATGCCGTCATGCGAGCTCTCCTTACATGATTGTTTAATTAAATATTTCAGTTAATGACGCCTCGTGTCATTAAGCAAACATTTCATCTCCTAAACGACAGATAATGCCATCTCCAAGCGTTGTGTCAAGCACCTCTTAGAAAAAACACAACATACAAATGAAACCTGGGATATGTATACTTTCTTTTTCTGTGATGATTATTACTGTTTTATTATTAATATATGTGATTATCTCCCTTTACTTGTAATATAATATGTTATTGTTATTTTTACATATGTTTGTCGCAATAATAGCTCTCAAGAGCTAATGTTCCTTGTGTATCTGTATATGACGTTAAATAAAGTTTCTTGTATACAGAGGTTCGTCCCGCACGTACAACGGAAGTGACGTAGAATCACTGTCGCATATTTTAATTTGTCCAATAAAATTTAACTTAAATGCAAGTTTCCAAGATTTACATAGCGACATTATACATGTGACTTAAAACTTTATGTTTCTATTTACGAAGTTGGACATCAACAGACCCCGACTGTATTTTGTAATATACTGCGAAAATATCACGTTTATTTTCCAGTTTCATTCGCATTTCATCAGAGAAATAAAAACTTACTTGAAATTACAGACAAAGGATTTTTTAAGAGATCAAGAAAAACAAAACCGATTATACTATAATTTCCTTATATAAGGTTGCTACATCTTATGTGACGGTACGCCCTGTAATCGACCCCAAACGTGACGCTCCATCGTCCCAGTCGGGCAGTCTCTGTATACATATACATCGACTGTTTTTCGAGATCTGTTCAGTTTCGTCTTATCGTATTGTTTAGATAATTCAAATAAGCAATTATTTTATGGTATGTAACTTGTGAATAGATTACATCAATTATATAATATCAAATATCACGGCGTCGTTTCCACGCTGACTTTGGTTATAAAACACCTCGAGGGTCCACTCAGAACTGTTCATTTTAGACCCGCGATAAAATCATATCATGTTTCCAAACACTTCATTAATGTTTCAGCCGACTTCTTAACATAACTGGGCCAGTATTTATATACAACACTGTTTACTTCTCGTTCTAAGATAACAAAATCTTAAGAGAGCACGTGCACTTGCGAGAGTTTGATGAGACTCCGTGATTTCCCACCGGGGCAAAAGATCGATTAGTGACATCTTTTATTTTAAACTTCTCAAATAACTTGTTATTAAATAAGTCAGAATAGATACATTCTAGTAGTTCTCTAGATTAAAAAGAAAAAAAGTTCGCGCAATTTCATCCTAGCTATATACCAGTACATGTAAACTAATTACAATTACGCATTAAATTGTAACGACTTGGTCGTTCAGGTTACATTTCGGTCGTTTCCCGACTTCGGCTAGTATTAGTTAGCACGTGAAGTCGTTATAGAGTCGTCAATACTGAATATTACATGAGAAACTTTCGAATCATTCGTGTTTGTGTAAGTGAAGACCACAGGGACTTGCTAATTAAGACACCGAATATATTTAAGACATTTTCTTCTGTGTAAGTGAAAAGTTTAAGACATTTAAGCTTTCGCCAAAAACTCAGCTCAAAGGGCACAACGTGCTGTAAATGGAAGTTAATTGAAATATTTGAGTCAGAATTAAACCCATCAGACATTTACAAACAAATGTACAAAACAAATTAAAAGTATAAAAAACACTATATACTACAGTACCAGGAGAAATGAACCAGCTTTTCAGTGATTAGTGTGAGACTTTTCAGTGATTAGTGTGAGACTTTTCCAGGCAAGTCCTACGCATCATTTTCAAAATATTGATGAGTTCCATCATTAAACGTTAATTTAGTACGAATCCCACAGAAAAAGCATGAATAAAATAGTTCTGGGTCATCCAAAACACGGAATAGAAATATGGAATGATTTTTATGCAATACAGTCGTGGTTACTGATCCACCTCTCCACTCTAGACACCCCCCTCCAAACACACACAATTCTCCTATTTAGCAACCCTACACACACATCCCCAATTTAGCAGCCTCCACCGCCCCACTTTAGCACCCCACCTCCCCCCTGATAACTGAAGATTTCCCCTTAGGTCCATGTGATTGTCATGTTGTTTATTGTACTATAATTGCACATGTCTGTCCGGACAGAGGACTTCTCCGTATCACCGGGAGCCGGTAAGGAGACTCGATCGTGAAGTACATTGTTGTAACCAGGTGAAATATTTATATATTTGTATGCATGGCGTCACTGTAAATATAACAAGAATCATTGTTAAAAAAAATCTACTTCTTTTCTCCGTATCTCAATTGAATGTGATATTGATTACTGTTTTCTTGAATAGGTTTGTTAGGAGTAGGTAAACATGTTTGTTTAAGTGTCAGGTGACTTGGCTTTAAGAACTAATTACAAACGGTCAATCATTTGTTCAGAGCGGAAATGAATCTGCCATTCATTATGTTAAAAGATGCTCTGATAATTATACTTCTGTCGTTGCGTTGCGTCTCTTTGATACCATAACATTGCCCAACTACAATACGAAGTGCATTTAATCCTCCTCTCCCTAATTTTCCATAATGCATCAGACCCTTAACGCATACAGACGCAGCGATTGTTAACTAGAGGGGCCCTCAGTGATTACTTGTGATTAGATATGATAAAAATATATCCGTTCACTGAGACTTTTATATATATCTATAATTAAAACCACAGCCATAAATTGATGGATTCTTTGTTTCAGACGATCCCCCAGACAGGTTGAGCCCCTGTGGACTGTTTTCCAGCTCGCGCACACCGCGCATCTGGCTTCTTCCATTATACCAGTCATCGTTTTTACAGACGTTTTTGTTTCTTAAGTCACGTGACTGATGAAACTGACAACCCAACATCTGGCAGCACAACCGTGAAAGATTGACACCCTTCGGTCAGACATATTTATATTCTTTCTCTCTTTATGATTACGACTGTGTTAGTTGTTTTCGTAGAGGTCTCACTTTTTCTGACTTTCTAACATATGTGAAACAATATATAATTCTTTAATGGCGTTTTAGAACGTAAAACAGAACAGCCGCTAAAATGCGGCGTTGATAATGCTAAATGCATTTGACATGAAGTCACAAGAGATACACATCACTTGTGAAGAATCATGACAATGACGACAAGTTCACAGCAACGCGAGAACTATCTACATACTTACCATTAGTGCTGCAAATCAAATCATGTTTCCGAATGCTTACTTTTGTGACTGTGTTTCGGAATATTTATTTACAAGAATTTCTTTTTATTGGCGAAAAGGGAAGCTTCACCTCACTCTCGTCAGACCACACGAGATTATGATGTAATAGTTCACGAGCAGGTTTACCCCAGTCCTATGTATAAGGGGAGATAACTCGTAGTAAGCTTGTTTGGCCACATTTTTACCGCAGTCAAACCTGTACATAGGAAATTTTCAGGCATGATTTATATTTTAATGAATCGCTTGTAAACAGATATCGTACATTGAAAAAACCTTATGAAAAAAATAGATGAAGATGATATATTCCAAAAAGTATAATGCAACGAAGCCAGCCCTGGACGTCATTATCTCGTTCTAACCTAGTTACGGCAGTACCTTGAAATGGGCTCTGTCTATAGTGATATCTACCCATAACAAAATTAAGGGAAGACAATTGTTATTACGATAAAATGGATTTTTTGACTTTTTTTTGCCTGAGTATGACAATGATTATTCAACTGTTATTAGCGGTATAACCGGTCATGTACACGTCACTTCCGGGAGGACATTTCCTCCTCGATGGCAGCAAGCTACTTCAGGAACATTTTCATTGTGAAGAATAAGATCAGAAATATATACAGGGGAATATTTATAAGCATGGGGGATATTTGAAAGAGACTCCGCAGAATTGGTCATAATTTGTAAATAAATGTTTTGGCCTTGTCCCACATGAAAATATATACCATGGGTTTCATATGGCTGAAAATATGTAATGCCCTCAATCAATGTGGTAGCAATACTTGCAGGATGGAAAAAATATCACTTTCGTTTCAGAGCATCATTCAATGATATATATTTGCGCCACCTTTTAATATGAGTCTTGAGGTTAACAAATAGCGACGATTCTGGTAAACTGAAAATGTTGGCAAAATGAGAAACTAGACATGTGTCGTTATAGTCAGTAATATTTCACTTTAATTTGTTGATATATTGAATAACAATTTCAATCACCATATTCATTTATTATGTGAAAATAAATATATATGCTGATGTTGTCCCTAGCCAACAAGCCCGGCTTTAGCTACAGAACCGGTCGTTTTGTCTCCCCATTGATGGGGGAAGTCTTTGGGAACCGCCTTCTCGCCGTAACCTTCCTTCTCACACCATAGACCCGCCAGGTGCTCGTCAGAACAGTAGGTGCCATCTTCGAAATCGAAACATTTGACGCTGAGCAGACCGAAGAACATCTTGCCGACTTCATTAGCTGCTGTGGTATTTACTCCCTAAAACAAAATAAAAGGCGCGTACATGTATGAGGAATTCAACAGCTTTTGGTTTCTCAGTATTTATATCAAATATATTTCAGATTGTATTATACACCACACCTACACCTTGCTATTCTGGCCCTTAGAAATGTAGGTATACCCAAAAGTTTTGATACATTTAAAATGCTTGTTGAATGTTCAAACTTTTGATCACGGATTGATATTTGAACGTTTAATACGTTTAATTTTCCAACACATGCTGTTTAAATTTTGAATGCGTGTTGTTTTATGTTTGAACACGTGTTGTTTAATGTTTAAACGTGTGTTGTTGCATATCCGAACATGTACGGTTTAATGTTTGAACATGTGATGTTTAATGTTAAAACACGTATTATTTAATCGTTGAACACGTGTTGGTTTGAACACGAGATTATAAAAAGTTTTATTACATTTTAATTAATCGTTCTGAGTTCCATTAACTTACCTTATATTGTAACTTCCTTTCCCTGAATAACGAAGATAGCTATTCACGTTTAATCAATGGAATTCTTTCTCAACAATTTTGCAACAAGTTTCGGAAACATATATATACCTTACAATACGATTCGTATCGCGGTACGATGTTTACAATGCGATACGTATCGCGGTACGATGTTTACAATACGATACGTATCGCGGTACGATGCTTACAATACGATACGTATCGCGGTACAATGCTAACGATACGTTTTGCAGTACGATGCTTACAATACGATACTTATCGCGGTACGATGGTAACGAAACGTATCTCAGTACGATGCTTACAATACGATACGTATCGCGGTACGATGCTTACAATACGATACTATCGCGGTACGATGCTTACAATAAGATACGTTTCGCAGTACGATGCTAACGATACGTTTTGCAGTACGATGCTAACGGTACGATGCGTATCGCGGTACAATGTTTACAATGTGATACGCGTCACGATACACTGCTCAAAAGGTCAACTTCATCATGATTGAGTGCAGGATTTTACGGAGTTTTATCATAGACCTAACTAGTACAATACTATCAATTTTTTTTTGTATTTTTTTATCATGATGATACAGTGGCCACATATTTACTGAAGGATTAGAAACACTAAGAACACCTTTTTACAGTTTGGTAAAACAAATATTTCAGTATTGTTAGCTGTGTATTGCGATACTGGCAAACAACAGTTCGATACGATACACAAGAAGCACACAATACAATACGGTTCGATAAATCGTTGCAGCTCTGATATCTATTAACACTGTTTACCAATGGAGAACAGTATCTTAGTTGTATATCTTCCCAAAGTTGTTTGACCATCTTTCAAATGTTGACATTCCCTAGAGTAACCGCGGGCGTACAAGTAAAATTAAACCTCGTTATACTGCCTCCGTGTGTCTGGCGAGATATTGACGTTAAAATAGAGTATTGCGATATATCCCCGATTTTTTCCGGATGATGGATTTGCTGGTAAATTAGTTGAGTACCTTAAGGCAGTCATATAGTCCTTGGTCGCAGTCACAGTAGCTCATAGTCCAGGGGTACGGGTTCCGGTAGTTATACTTGGTCTCGAAGTGGTCAATAAAGTACGGACAATGGTCATGCGTCCGACAACAGCTGTCCGTGGCACGATGCTCACCTGAAATTAATTAACACTTCACTAATGGTTTTATTACAGTTATTTCTTATCCGTATGAAAAAGACGGAGAGTATCATTTCTTAATCTGCTGTATGATACTATCTGATTAAGTCCTTATGCACTGTGGTGTATAGGTACATTGTGGGTGGGCGGTGTGTCGCATCCTAACACGAGGTCACAAAATACTTTATTAAGTGTAATTATTTTTTCTATAGTTTATATCTTAAGCCCCAGTCACACCAGGCCTGCGACCAGAACAAGACCTAGCGGCGTCTTGGGTGTTCGCACGATCAAAATCGGTCGCAGCAAGGTCGACGGTCATGTTTAAAACTTCTTACAATGTTCCTGCGATTCCAAATCATAAGAGGTCGCAGACAGGTCATGATCGTGGGTCAAGCAGTCACACGATTTGACGTGCCACCTTCCGTCCGATCTCGCGATCGGTAGTGCGACCTGTCCCGACTGGTTACACGACCTTACGATTGGTGGTACAACCAGTCTTAAGCTCGCGGACGTGTATTTTTTGGAGTGACTTCTGGGGTTCAAGTCACTCTCCATTATGACACCCAAAGAGAGCTATGGCGAGTATACAATTTGTGCCGGGCATAGAACTCATGTCGGCCCTTATGATGCAATGAATAAAGCGGATATTTCACCAAGGATTGTTTTGGTCCCGATAGTACCCGATTCTTTTTTTGGTCGATCGGCCGCATTTTTACCAAAATAGTCGGGAACCTGGGAGCACTGTCGAGCACTACCCTATGCCTTTGGGGGAAGATCTGGCGCGATCTCCTCAGTCCTCCGAGTGTCGGGTACCGAAAAAGTGATCGACTACTGTTTTTAAAAATATTGAAAAACAGTAGCCGATCAAAACCGTCGGCCCGTGGTCGTCTTGGTCGTCCGTGGGTCCCCTGAAGGTCCCGCGGCCGGGAGTAAACGACCAATCAGATATTGGTCCTTGGCCTCCTCCTCAGCATATTTTCTAGTGTAATAACATTTTGCTGTGCTATGGCAGAACGAAGTTGTAGAGCTACAACAAGCCCCAGCACTGCTTGTTGGTCCATGACCTTCCCTGGCTGGTCACAAAGTGATGAAAGGCTTCGATCTGGCTCGATTGATATAGTCGGGCCCCCAAAACACCGATCTCCGGCCGATCTAGGCAAATGTGGTCGGATAAGAACGTCCGAAGATCGTTTGAAACGTCCGAAGATCGTTTACTTTCGGCTTCCTGCGGCTTCCTGCGTCAACATACGTCTACATTCGGCCACTCTCGCGCGAAGAACGGCGGAAGAACGGCAGACATCGGCCGCTTTGCGTCTTTTATCGACCGGGATCGCCCATTTTCGGCCTCTCTCTGCCTCTCTTGTCCGAACAACGCGCGAAGATCGCTCACTTGCGCGCGAGAAGTGGGTCTGTACCGGGCCTTTGCCGTGTACCTGCGGGTATTGCGCGTACTTGCGCATACTTGCGGCCCGGACACGTGTCGATCGCGCGAGGAACGTCCGTGATTCGTCCCCCCGCCATGGTCTATGGGTCAGGACTTAATCGGATCAAAAAAGTGGACGATTGGAGGCGATTCAGGACGACAATCGGGCCGATCAAAAAAAATGATTCATCTGGGACAATCTGGTCCAGATCGGGCCTATCGGAAAAAACAGTCCTTGGTGAAATGGCCGCTTTATGAAACTGGTCGCAGTTGGACACGATTGATCGTACGATCAGTCGCTGATAGCCACTGTTTCATGACCGGGCTCAAAACTTAATAGATATGCTGGAACCATAGGTATTCGTCTATTTCTTCGTGAAAGTCGTATATGTGGTGTGTGACATGCGATTGCTGTGCAAGTTTATATGATTGTTGTAGTGAGGAAATTATATTCCGTTGTGGTGTGTTTTACCGGTTTTTTTTCAATTGCGGGTACGGATGGTTCACTAGTTGTAATAGTTTTAAAATCCATTACTCTAGAACATGAAATTGTTCCGTATTAGTATTGGCATGATACTATATGACGTACCTAGATCGTCGTAGCTGGTCGCAATGTTACTGAGTCCACACCATTTCGTCCCAGGGAATATAGCGAATGACCCTTTAGATCCTGCCGGGTCACCAGTCTCTTCCGGGGCAAAGGGCAAAGCGGTGGTGGCTTTGACCTGGCTTCCGTTTTCCTCCTCGGCTTGACGCTTTGTATTTCCGGTGCGTTTACAAGATTCGATCATTTTCCTAACCGTGTCTTCACCTATCCAAAAAAGACCAGTCATGTTGTCTTACATTAAAAAGAGAGTAAACGTTGTGATACTCGAGGTTTAAGACTTCACCATTGTTGATTCCCCAAAATCACCCTCCAACAATTTTCGTGAATCAGGCTTCAGTTACAAGGACTTTCCTAAACATAAGGAAATTGTTGAACTACAGCAATATTTTTATATAAAAATCGAAAGTTGCGCTAAATTGTTTCGATTTTACATTTCCCTGTTGATTCGGATGAATTTTGGACAGACTTTAAGCTATGTCTAAACAATACGAAAGATGTTGGCAACCCAGTATAGAAGGTATTAATTCGGATAACTATTACGGAATTGCTCTCCTGTTTTATGAATAATTTATTTATAATTCAATTTTGAAATATTTAGATATTACCAATATCTCGCCAGTTGACATCGTCAGCATTCAGTACGGACGCCGGATCTGAAGTGACGTCACAGGATCTGAGAATACCTTCCGGTGACACGTAGGCGTCAAGTGACCAGTGTCCATCTGTTACCGTATACCGAACGAATCCGGAGGGGTGGTCAAACAGTCTGAAGGCGATCCATCCTGTGTAGTAAACGTATACAACACGATGAACAATACACCATGTACAATGTCCCAAGGTACTGCAATACTAGACATAAACTGGAATACGAAACAACGCAATGTAATACTTTAACGTAATACACTGGAATACGAAACAACGCAATGTAATACTTTAACGTATTACACTGGAATACGAAACAACGCAATGTTATACTTTGGCGTATTACACTGGAATACGAAACAACGCAATGTAATACTTTGTCATAAAACATCGGATTACGAAACAACGCAATGTTATACTTTGGCGTTATACACTGGAATACGAAACAACATAATGTAATACTTTGGCGTTATACACTGGAATACGAAACAACGCAATGTTATACTTTGACGTGATGTGCGTGAATAATAAACAATGTAATGTATCACAGGGTGTCAGATTAGTCAGGTTCATATGAACAATGTATTTTATCCCAGGTTGTCAGATTAGCCAGGTTCATACGAACAATGTATTGTATCCCAGGGTGTCAGATTAGTCAGGTTCATACGAACAATGTATTGTATCCCGGGTTGTCAGATTAGTCAGGTTCATATGAACAATGTATTTTATCCCAGGGTGTCAGATTAGCCAGGTTCGTATGACCAATGTATTGTATCCCGGGTTGTCAGATTAGTCAGGTTCATACGAACAATGTATTGTATCCCAGGTTGTCAGATTAGCCAGGTTCATACGAACAATGTATTGTATCCCAGGTTGTCAAATTAGCCAGGTTCATACGAACAATGTATTGTATCTCAGGGTGACAGATTAGTCAGGTTTCACAGAATGTATTATACGTACCTTTACGAATAGCATGACCTGACACGCAGGCCAAGAACACTACGACCAACAACTCGCGGACAGCCATCTTGGAAGTAGAGGTTGGAAACGAGGTTACACCGACACGGAGCTGATATATAGATAAGGCCTCTATAGACCCCTACGATAGGTCGCTAAAAAATAATATTTTGGGGTCTTCATTATTTTGGTTTTTCTTATTTTAGGTTAGGACAACATATATTTATTCTTATTGCAACTTTTTTTTTTCTTATTGTTTGAAATTGTCTGCAACAAGATGACAGATAGTTCTCTATATTGACCTAAGATGCTTATCTTTCTCCGTCCTACATTTGTATGTAGGCTAGATTTTAGTTCTGTTACGACATTAGGAAGATCAAGTGACGTTATCACAGACCTTGCCTATGAATCATTAGATCTAAATACAAACCAATTGCTGATAAAGGACAGGGGATTTCAGCTAGTGCTTCAAATGGATTCGATTCCGCCAGGAACATATCTAAATCCGACAGGGAACATATCTGAATTACAGTTGAAAACTAAGCTGGGGTCTTATACATTGTATATTGATTCATAAAAAATGGAGAACTCAATGGTCTTTAAGGTATACAAATCAGTCGTCAGTCAATTTCACAATCGTTCTAACTTCAAATACTGTGCTGCTGTGGGCTATATTTTTTCAATATCCAATATTTGCGATCAAAACATCTCTGGCATTAAACATTCAGCGAAAAAAAGTGAAAATATTACAGTATTCAACTTTGTTAAACCTTCAATGATAAAGTAATACAATTTCAATAAACATTCCGCAGGGGGAAATCTTTTCTAATATCGTATTTCGCCGGGGAACATCCCTTTTTCTAACATCGTGTTTCGCCGGGGAACATCCCTTTTTCTAATATCGTATTTCGCCGGGGAACATCCCTTTTTCTAACATCGTGTTTCGCCGGGGAACATCCCTTTTTCTAATATCGTATTTCGCCTGGGAACATCCCTTTTTCTAACATCGTGTTTCGCCGGGGAACATCCCTTTTTCTAATATCGTATTTCGCCTGGGAATATCCCTTTTTTTAATATCGTATTCCGCCGGGGAACATCCCTTTTTCTAATATCGTATTTCGCCGGGGAACATCCTTTTTCCTAATATCGTATTTCGCCGGGGAACATCTCTTTTTCGAATATCGTATTCCGCCGGGGAACATCCCTTTTTCTAATATCGTGTTTCGCCGGGGAACATCCCGTTTTCTAATATCGTATTTCGCCGGGGAACATCCCTTGCCTAATATCTTATTTCGCCGGGGAACATCCTTTTTTCTAATATCGTATTTCGCCGAGGAACATCCCTTTTTCTAATATCGTATTTCGTCGGGGAACATCCCTTTTTCTAACATCGTGTTTCGCCGGGGAACATACCTTTTTCTAATATCGTATTTCGCCGGGGAACATCCCTTTTCTAACATCTTATTTCGCCGGGGAACATCCTTTTTTCTAATATCGTATTTCGCCGAGGAACATCCCTTTTTCTAATATCGTATTTCGCCAGGGAAAATCCCTTTTTCTAATATCGTATTTCGCCGGGTAACATCCCTTTTTTTAATATCGTTTTTCGCCGGGGAACATACCTCTTTTCTAATATCGTATTTCGCCGGGGAACATCCTTTTTTCTAATATCGTATTTCGCCAGGGAAAATCCCTTTTTCTAATATCATGTTTCGCCGGGGAACATCCCTTTTTCTAATATCTTATTTCGCCGGGGAACATCCCGTTTCTAATATCTTATTTCGCCGGGGAACATCCCTTTTTCTAATACCGTATTTCGCCGGGGAACATCCCGTTTTCTAATATCGTATTTCGCCGGGGAACATCCTTTTTTCTAATATCGTATTTCGCCAGGGAAAATCCCTTTTTCTAATATCGTATTTCGCCGGGTAACATCCCTTTTTTTAATATCGTTTTTCGCCGGGGAACATACCTCTTTTCTAATATCGTATTTCGCCGGGGAACATCCTTTTTTCTAATATCGTATTTCGCCAGGGAAAATCCCTTTTTCTAATATCGTATTTCGCCGGGTAACATCCCTTTTTCTAATATCGTTTTTCGCCGGGGAACATCCCTCTTTTCTAATAGCGTATTTCGCCGGGTAACATCCCTTTTTTTAATATCGTTTTTCGCCGGGGAACATACCTCTTTTCTAATATCGTATTTCGCCGGGGAACATCCCATTTTCTAATATCGTATTTCGCCGGGGAACATCCTTTTTTCTAATATCGTATTTCGCCGAGGAACATCCCTTTTTCTAATATCGTATTTCGCCGTCGAACATCACGTTTTCTAATATCGTATTTCGCCGGGGAACATCCCATTTTCTAATATCGTATTTCGCCGGGGAACATCCTTTTTTCTAATATCGTATTTCGCCAGGGAAAATCCCTTTTTCTAATATCATGTTTCGCCGGGGAACATCCCTTTTTCTAATATCTTATTTCGCCGGGGAACATCCTTTTTTCTAATATCGTATTTCGCCGAGGAACATCCCTTTTTCTAATATCGTATTTCGTCGGGGAACATCCCTTTTTCTAACATCGTGTTTCGCCGGGGAACATACCTTTTTCTAATATCGTATTTCGCCGGGGAACATCCCTCTTTCTAATATTGGATTTCGCCGGGGAACATCCCTCTTCTCTAATATCGTTTTTCGCCGGGGAACATCCCTTTTTCTAATATTGGATTTCGCCGGGGAACATCCCTCTTTTCTAATATCGTTTTTCGCCGGGGAACATCCCTCTTTTCTAATATCGTTTTTCGCCGGGGAACATCCCTCTTTTCTAATATCGTATTTCGCCGGGGAACATCCCTTTTTCTAATATTGGATTTCGCCGGGGAACATCCCTCTTTTCTAATATCGTATTTCGCCGGGGAACATCCCTCTTTTCTAATATCGTATTTCGCCGGGTAACATCCCTTTTTTTAATATCGTTTTTCGCCGGGGAACATCCCTCTTTTCTAATATCGTATTTCGCCGGGGAACATCCCTTTTTCTAATATCGTTTTTCGCCGGGGAACATCCCTTTTTCTAATATCGTATTTCGAAAACAGACCAAAATTCAGATCTTAGTATAATGTCCATGTTGATGTACACGTAACTATATACAGTCGGTTGAGTTAAATGACATCATCTACCGAAACCATCGATCCCCCAGATAGCACACCGCCGATAGGCCAACGTTAGCATACAACATTGGCCCAACAGTTTTTTGTCCGTTGGCCCACGTTGGGCCACCGTCTGGCCAACGTTCGAACCCTGTTATATGTAAAAAGAACACCACACAAATCCAAGTTACAGTGTTTTAAGATAGCATAAAAAGGGGTGGTGTGGTCATCTAAAACAAAGCGGAAAGCTTTTTCCTGTATTTCCCCCATTTTTTATGTGTTGTTTTTGCTACAGAAATGCCAGGGCTAGAGGGCAATAATTAAAATTATACTGCCATTGATAAATGTTACGAACACCAATTCACTATAATATTATAGTAATTTATGGAATTGCATGCTTAAAAAGATAAAACTTTATTTATTTCACAACGATACAGAAACAAGTCATATCAACTACTACAAAGCTCGCCCTGAAAAATGCACGATAACTGCTCCAATGCCAGTAAAGAACAAAATGGTGCCGCTATGTTTACGTACGACCACGGACTTAGATAACTAATCTAATTCCGTGGTACGACCTTAGACCGCCAACAAAGTCGGGCAATTTATTCAGAATCAGGCGTGTGCCTGTGCCTATACGGACGGAGCTTTGTAGTCTTTCGTTCTCGACTGGCATAGTTTGTTTCATTTGCACAAAATGTATCGGATTCTTTGCCCGCTTCCTAGATTGTAGCAAACTACCTGCCTCTTCTATTCCCAATTTTTCTATATCAGTGTCACTCTCCTGCTTCGTTTCACTGTCAGTTTATTCTTTCGGACGTTTTCATGAACGAGCATCACAGTTACGTATAATATTGGAATCAGGATCGGATCAGGATTTCTAGAAGGAAAAAAATAAAAGATTTTCGCCGATTAGCGGGAAAACTCTCATGCCTGTAATATATATCGAAATCGGATACAGTAACCTTAAAACTATTCTCAGGTTGAATATAATAGTCCAGTCATTTTATGAGAAAAAAGGCCAAACGTCAAAATAATTGCAATTAAATTTATTAAATTTATTGATTGGAAAGGGATAATAAAAACAAATATTTGATGTCAGAAATGAGGGGAAAATTGTCAAATAAGCACTTTAATACCCTAGGGGATTTTAACATAGGCAGGGGAGATAACTCACCTGGCAGTTTTGTTCAGTGACTAAAATAATTTGATAAAATTAAGTTTTAGATAGTTACCATTCAAATTCTAATGGAATGAGTTTTAAAATGATTCTTTAGATTATCTGTGAATTAAAATGTATTAAATACGTTTTAGCGGCGGCAGCACTATACTAGAAATTATGCATTTATTAGATTGAACTAAATATCAAGAACTATATTTTAATGTGGTTTCAAATTGAAAAGAAACTTTAATATTGCTTTCATTGATTTTTGTGTTATATGTTTATTCTTTTCAAATTTAAAAGAACTAGCAATAGCAATAACTTGGGAATCCAAAGGGGAAGCCGCTGTTCTAGCTCTTTTCTGTCATCACCCCCTCCGTAAGTCCGTTCGGCAAACAATTTACAATTTTACTTTTTATCAATAAATTCTAAAAGCACATATAGATTCAGTTACTCGCCCAAGGCCAGCAATCTATAATCACAGTGGGCCTGTTAGATTTCACAAGGCCAGCAATCTATAATCACAGTGGGCCTGTTAGATTTCACAAGAAGTCAGCCCATTGACAGATGAGCCAGTAAACTTTTCAAACCAAAGCTATCGGGTACATGTAGAGTCTATATACAATTATATAAAAGGTTGTCAGACAGAGTAACAACTGTATTTAATCTGCCTTAGATGCTGGGAAAAGGAAATTTTCTAAATTTTCCAGTACAGGAAACCCCCACGACCTCTTTCGATGCATGCATAAAATGACTGGACTATAATGGCTGGGTATTTATTGTCCTGCATGTAAAATTT